AACCAAATTCATGGCGACTAACACAAACACAAGAGCTGGAAATGTTGACACAAATTTAATCATCAATGACCAAAACTTCGAAGCAGTCAATGAGTTCATATATCTAGGGACATCGGTTAACCCCAATAATAATACATCTGAGGAAATAAAAAGGCGAATAATAATTGCAAACAGGTGTTATTATGGTCTATCAAAGTACTTAGCTAACAAACGTCTGTCTCAAAAAACTCGTATAAGGCTGTATAGAACACTAATAGTCCCCGTTCTCACATACGGATCAGAGGCATGGACGTTAACGAAAACAGATGAATCCGCTCTATCCATTTTTGAAAGAAAGGTGCTACGCAAGATATTTGGAGCGGTCTGTGAGAACGGAATATGGAGGCGTAGATATAACTTCGAACTGCAGAATATCTACAAGCATACGTTTGGTGGTAAAGATATTACCACTATAATTAAGCGAAACCGCCTGCAGTGGGCAGGACATGTAGCCCGGGCCCCTGAATCGAACATGATAAAAAAGATTCTAACAGCGCAACCTGTGGGAATGAGACGACGGGGTAGACCAAAGCTGAGGTGGACGGATGGGGTAACACAAGATGCGGAGAAGATCGGAGTCGGCAACTGGAAAATTCAAGCAAGGGACAGAACAGAATGGCGTAGAAAGCTTGAGAAGGTCGAGGTCCTCTAAGGGCTGTAGCACCAAGATGATGATGATGATGACTATTAAGTCCTATATATTATTAGTATCACTTTCACCCTTAACTGGTAAGCTAAAGTCACGTAGACTCCTAGTACTTAAGAAGTTGTCGCAACTTTTTTCCGGTGACCTTGAATCTTGCGCGGGCTTATGTACCTTTAAGTCACTATTAGTAGTTATTGGAATGCAGTGGGTATTCAGCTAGAGACCTTTAGAGCTTTACTGTAAACAGGTTCAAACAAGAATCTCAGTGATTCTGCCTTACCGTTAAGGTAATTTGATATCAAAAGCAAAGTAAACAGGTGGAGAGAATACGTCCAAGAATTGTTTGAGGACGACAGAGCGCAAAAAGATACCATGAACGATTGCGAGGAACATGTTATAGGTCCAAATATAACGAAGGATGAAATAATACATGCAATAAATCTGGGAAAATCTAACAAAACTGCGGAGCCTGACACAATTCCGACCGAAAAAATTCAATTAATATCAGAAGATGAGATCAATGCATAAGTAGACTTATATAATACTATATATATATATATATATATATATATATATATATATATATATATATATATATATATATATAATATATATATATATATATATACAAACAGCGCAAAAATTAACGCATGCGCGTTGACAGAACATGCATTAAGTTTAAAACATGAATTTAATTTCGAGGATTCCTGTATTCTGGCAAGGGAAAATACCCATTCTAAACGTGTTTTCTTGGAAATGTGTTTAATAAAGTCCAGTGCGTCTTGTATAAATAAGAAGTCCGATATAGACAAATTGAGTAACATTTATTGTTATTTACTGACTAAACATCAAAAATGACACAAAGACTTACTTGTACATATAGACACCATAATACACCTGCATGCTAAACAGGTTGAATACCATCAACACAGGTTTAATACATTACCTTCTATTAATAACATATGAAGAACTCCTAATGAATTTTTAATCATACTATTTTTATTTTTGTTTTTTTTTATTCTCTATGGGTAAGTTAAAACGCACCAAAAAGATGTAGAACACGAATTTTTAGAACTTTTATTATTTTTAACTAAATTTTAAAATGTATTGTATCCATTATTGTATAAGTTATAGTGTATATGTTTGTTATTAATGTTGAGTGTCATAGCTTCTTACAAAATAATCTCAACGACTAGTAAGTACACTGACATTTTGTGATATATTGTAAATATTTACACATTTTTCTAATTACAGTGTCTTGATAAAGGAATTAAACAATTCCGAAAGCTAGACCAAAAGTCAAAAGACTGTTTCTGTAACATCCCGGCCAAACTTCTGACTGCAGCCCCAATAAACTTTGTTGTTTGTTTAAATTGACAGTCACGAATATCCAGTATTCATTATATATATATATATATATATATATATATATATATATATTATATATATATATATATATATATATATATATATATATATATGTATATATATATATATATGTATATATATATATATATATATATATATATATATATGTATATATATATATAATACGGGTATTATTATTCCGAGATATTGGCTCAAATTAATATTTATTACATTACCAAAAAACCTAATGCAAGGGATTGTAATGACCACCGTATAATTAGTCTAATGAGTAACACACTAAAAATATTCTTAAAAATTATCCATTTAAAAAATTTCAGAAAAGTGGAACAAGAAATCACTGAAACCCAATTTGGGTTTAGGAATGCCATGGGTACACGAGAAGCAATATTTAGATTTAAGGTCCTCATGCAAAGATGTATGGATGTAAGTCAACCACTCTGTTTGTTTTATTGATTACAAAAAAGCATTCGAAAAAGGTGCGACACAACCGCCTCATACAGTTACTTAAAGATAAACACATTGACAAAAAAGACTTAAGAATAATAGCTCATCTATATTTAACCAAACAGCAAAAGTCAGAGAAGGCAAACAACTTTCTGAATAAGTAGAGATAAAAAGAGGCGTAAGGCAAGGTTGCATACACTCCTCCTTATTGTTCAATCTATATTCGGAAGAAATAATTAAAAAATCACTCGCAAATGGGAATAAAAGTCAACGGCAGACCCATCAACACCATGAGATATGCCGATTATACTATACTAATTGCAGAGAATATGCAAGATCTACAGACACTTTTAGATAATGTAGTAAATGCTAGTGAGAAAAGCGGACTAATGCTTAATGCTAATAAAACAAAATTTATGACAATTTCCAAAACATAACAACAAGACATTTAAAACATAAGAGGGGTTCGAATAGAAAAAGTAAAAATATGCAGATATCTTGGTACAATTATAAATGAAAATAACGAGTATACAGAAGAAATAAAAATAAGAATTGGACAAGCTAGAACAACATTTAATAAGATGAGAAAAGTATGATGCAGTAAAGACCTTAGTTTGCAACTTAAAATGAGAATATTACGTTCATATGTGTTTTCAGTGCTACTGTGTGGGGTGGAGGCTTGGACCTTAAAGAAAGAGGTGGGCGATCGACTTGAAGCATTCGAGATGTGGACCTACCGAAGATTATTAAAAATAAGTTGGGTAGACCGAATAATAAATGTTGAAGTCCTCATGACAAAGAAAATTGAAATCATGAATGCGATTAAGATAAGAAAGTTAAAATATCTCGGCCACGTTATGAGAGGGGATCAATATGTGTTTGCTACAAACCATAATGCAGGGAAAAATGCAGGGAAAACGAAGTATTGGAGGAAGACGCATCTCCTGGCTCAACAATCTGAGAAAGTGGTATAATTGCAGTTCCGTCGACTTGTTCAGAGCTACAATCTCAAAAGTGAAAATAGCTGTGATGATTACCAACCTCGTTAGAGGAGACGGTACCTAAAGAAAAAGAATAGGAAGTTAAGGTAAGTTTCTGCCAGAATCACCAAATAATTTTTCTGTGGCTTAACATAGGTTTATTTATATACATAATGCAAAAAATAGAATTCTGTGAAACCATGGCTTACTATTAAAATGCAATATAATCTCTTCATTGAAGTATTATATAACGAAAATATATTGAATACTAATTTTTTCTTTCCAGTGTCAAACAAACCTAGAAATTGATTTAAATTGTGTTTATAAACTACCAAGATGGATTCACTCCCCGCCTCTCGACGCGTTAGTGTTCTGAGCTGTTGGACGTGAATCCCTGTCCTGGCATTTGGTTTTCACCTCTGGCTGCGTTGAGTAGTTGAGTTACTGTGACCAAATGCCCATCTTGGTAGTTAGTATTCGCCTCTGGTTGCGTTGAGTAACTGAGTTACCGTTGCTAACTACCCATCTTCCTGTTCTTTTGTTTTCTTTTTTCTTTTTCTTTGTTTCTCCTGAAGAAGCTACATATAATTGTAGCGAAACGTCGAGATGAACCCACTTTTGGGTCACTCACAAATGACACGGTCCAAACCCGGAAGACGAATAAACTATAATTCTGACTCTGGCCGTGGAAGCCTACGATTTCATTTGTGTTTATAACGTTTAACTATTAACTTGGCAAAATTATGTAAGGCGGTATTTTTAGAATGTTGTACCATAAATATAACTCTCTAAGTAATTATTTTCGGGCACTCTAATTAAATTTTGTAATACTATTTTTGTTTAAGACTAGAAAAACACGAGTGAAGCGTAGTTTTCAAATTAAAGCAGTATGTGTTTTGAATTTAGGTACTGAATATGTGCCAAATATTTAAGAATATTTGCATCAATAATTAAATTTTTTTTTCATTAATGACTAACTTATTCACAAAAAAGAAAATACTGTTAAATAACGGAAAAAAACACCAAATTTATTATAATCAAAATTTTTAGTCTACCGAAAGATCGTTCTTGCCACGAACAACACGTTTAAAACTCTTAATAGACCATTGTCCTGTTTATGGATTATTAAAATTATAAATTATAAATTCTTCTTCTTCTCTTGGCATCATAACCCAGGATGGGTCTTTGTCTGTTTGGCTATGTCCTTCCATTCAGATCTCTCTTGTGCCCTTCTTCTCCATTGTTTTATGTTCATTGTTTTTAGGTCGTCTTCCACGTCATTTTACTATCTCGTTCTGTGCCTTCCTTTTTTTCGCCTTTCTATGGGCTTCCATTGTAACATTTTCTTTGTTGTTTTTGCATCGTTTTGTCTCTGCACATGTCCCAGCCATGACAGTGTTTGACTTTTTACAAATCTTACAATGTCATAACCTTCATTTAACTCATTAACCTCGTCGTTTCTCCTGATTCTTCATGTGCCATCTTCCTCTTGTACCGGGCCATATACTTTCCTCGGTATTTTTCTCTCGAATGTCCTAAGTTGGGCTTCATCTTTTTTCGTCATTACCCAAGTGTTTCACATCCATAGGTTACTACGGGTCTAATCAGTGTTCTGTAGATAGTCATTTTGGTTCTTTTGTCTAATAATTTCGATGTCATCAATCTTTTATTAGCATAGTATATACGATTCCCGCTGGAAATACGTGCATTAATGTCGCTACTAACGGAGTTCTTCTGATTGATTTCTGTGCCGAGATATGTAAAGGCATCCACTCTTTCGATAATATAGTTGTCTATTGTGATATTATTTTCATTGTTAGTTATTCTTTTGACTGTCATATACTTCGTTTTTGCTTCGTTTATTTTGAGACCTATTTTTCTTGCTTCAGGATCAATTTGTTCGAACACTTCCATTAGTAGTGGCTTATTCCTACTAATGATGGCTACATCGTCTGCATATGCAGTAATTTGTACTGATTTGGTGTTTATATGGCCGGTTATATTGGTTTTTCTAATGGCTACCTCAAGTACTAGGTTGAATAGCATGGTTGATAGGGCATCTCCCTATCTTACTCCCATGTTTTCCATCTTTTTGAGATGAGTATATGGTCAATTTGATTGGCTTCGTTAGTTCCTGGTATTTTCCATGTTACTTTATGGATATCTTTTTTCTGGAAGTTAGTACTGCCAACTACGTTATTATAAATATAAATTATAAATTATAAATTATAAATTACTCACATTATAAATAATTATCGCTACAGCTGTTTCTGCAGAGTGCCTTTCTTAAGTGTGCTATTTTTTATGGGTATAACACTTTATAGTCTTTAACTAAATTAAAGTTGAGGAGGGAAAAACTGTTTGTCTCAAGTTGATTGTTCAGAATTATGTCTCTATTTTTTAACCTGTGCGTAAATACCCTTAAGTGCGTAAGTAGAATATATTTTTTCTATTGTCGAAAGTTATTTTGTGTGCTGCCATTCGTTTTTTAAAGGTTCTGCCCATTTGACTTATGTAAATTTTTGGGCAGTCGCCACAAGTAAGTTTGTACACTCCACTGTAAGGGTGTGTTTTCTTTTGGCTTTTGTTGTTTTTAATATATTTGATTAGGTTGTTGTTTGTTCTGAAAGCAGGCGTTATTTCTTTTTTTCTGTAATGATCTATTTTTGATGATATATTGCCTGTATATGTAATTGAGCAGAAAGTACTGGGTTTAGCTATGCGGTAACATAGTTCTGATAACAGTTAACCAAAAAGAGATTAAAACTTTGCCTACTTAGGTAGATGCCGCCTAGAAAACAGTTAATTTTAGCATCAGTTCATAAATATAAATACTTACAAAACAAAACAAAAAACACCCAAACTGCTGCCAAAAACAATTAAACCGCTAAACTACAAAGAGGAAGCACTTAGGCGTGTGCCTCTATCAGACATCTTTAAGAGCAACATGCCGAATTGGTTAAGAAAGAAGACAGCTGAGCAATGTGTACTACTAGTCATTACTTACGGTGCCGAAACACTTTTTTCTTAACCCAGGCCACAGCAATTAGACTTAAAGTATCCAAAGAAATAATGGAACTGTCATTAATTGAACTGAATTTCAGAAATAGGATTAAAATCGACGAAATAGAAAGAATGACAAGCATCGCATATGCCATACAGTGCATAGAGTGACTGAAGTGGAACTGGTTAGGTCATGTCGTCAGAATGAATGAGGGACGATGGACCAAAAATTACGCTAAAAACGTCAAATACAATAACAATACGTCAAAAAAACTGCTGGACGCTCAAAACCGACAAAACTGGAAGCAATGAGGGGAAGAATATGTTAATTTTTAAACTCAGAGGGATGGATGATGACCATATGATGCGAAACTCCAATTTCAGACAAAAACTAGTCACAAGTAAAGCACAAAAATGTTTTAATGTGGAATTTTAGTAGATATACAAGGCTACAGACATAGGGAAAACAATGTGTTAGAGAGAGAAGGATCTTTTAGTGAGTAAGAGTGAGATAGATGATGTCACGTCGAAGGAATCTCCTCTACGGTAGTTCAACTATTGTCCACTAGGTGGCGCCGCCATTTTCAATCCAATTTTAAATTAAAATATTAAATAAATTAAAAATTTTAAACAAAGGAATCTACATTACCGACTGTCATAGTTCAGCTATCCGCTAGTTGGCGCCGCCAAATATTCGCCATTTTTAGTTCAATGTTATTCTTTTCGCAACTGCCAATTCTTCTTCTTTTTCCGAAGAGTCATGGACAACAACGATTGTAGGTATGTAGTGCCTAAACGGCTTAACGTAGAGGCATGAGCAAGATAACATGTGATAGACGAATAGAATTGAATGGTATAGAAAAATGAAACATCATATCATACCATTAAGACATTAGATATGTATATTTTTGCCTATTGGTCCGATCGTAACATATAAGGGGTCGTTGGAAAGGAAAGAAGGCGATAGGTACAAATCTATAAAAAAGTTATACGTGAAGATGAACTATAAAGGTCTTAGGTATGTGATCCTACACGGGTTTACGTACTGGGATGTGGGAGATATCATATAATAGACTAATAAAATTAAATGGTATAGAAAGATTAAACATATCATTATGCCATAAAGGCATTGGATTTTTAACAAAATAGACATATTTTAACTGGATATTAATAACAAAGATTTAAACTCTCAAAACTGTCTCAATAGACTAGAATGTATAGTGAAATTAAATAGCATACCATAAAGACATTAGATATGTATATATTTTGCCTATTGGTCCGATCGTAACATATGAGGGGTCGTTGAAAAGGAAAGAAGGCGAGAGGTGCAAATCTATAGAAAAATTATACGTGAAGATGAACTATAAAGGTCTTAGGTGTGTGATCCTACACATCTTAACGTACTGGAATGTGCGAGATATCATATGATAGACGTATAAAATTAAATGGTATAGAAAGATTAAACATATCATTATGCCATAAAGGCATTGGATTTTTAACAAAATAGACATACTTTAACTGGATATTAATAACACAGAATTAAACTCTCAAAACTGTCTCAATAGACGAGAATGTATAGTGAAATTAAATAGCATACCATAAAGACATTAGATATGTATATTTACACCTATTGGTCCGATCGTAACATATGAGGGATCGTTGAAAAGGAAAGAAGGCGAGAGGTGCAAATCTATAGAAAAATTATATGTGAAGATGAACTCTAAAGGTCTTGAGTATGTGATCCTACACGGCTTAACGTACAGGGATGTCCGAGATATCATATGATAGACGTATAAAATTAAATGGTATAGAAAGATTAAACATATCTTTATGCCATATAGGCATTAGATTTTTGACAAAATAGACATATTTTAACTGGATATTAATAACAAAGAATTAAACTCTCAGTTTAAATCTTTGTTATTAATATCCAGTTAAAATATGTTTATTTTGTTAAAAATCTAATGCCTTTATGACATAATGATATGTTTAATCTTTCTATACCATTCAATTTTATTAGTCTATTATATGATATCTCCCACATCCCAGTACGTAAACCCGTGTAGGATCACATACCTAAGACCTTTATAGTTCATCTTCACGTATAACTTTTTATAGATTTGTACCTATCGCCTTCTTTCCTTTCCAACGACCCCTTATATGTTACGATCGGACCAATAGGCAAAAATATACATATCTAATGTCTTTATGGTATGATATGATGTTTCATGTTTCTATACCATTCAATTCTATTCGTCTATCACATGTTATCTTGCTCATGCCTCTACGTTAAGCCGTTTAGGCACTACATACCTACAATCGTTATTGTCCATGACTCTTCGGAAAAAGAAGAAGAATTGGCAGTTGCGAAAAGAATAACATTGAACTAAAAATGGCGAATATTTGGCGGCGCCAACTAGCGGATAGCTGAACTATGACAGTCGGTAATGTAGATTCCTTTGTTTAAAATTTTTAATTTATTTAATATTTTAATTTAAAATTGGATTGAAAATGGCGGCGCCACCTAGCGGACAATAGTTGAACTACCGTAGAGGAGATTCCTTCGACGTGACATCATCTATCTCACTCTTACTCACTAAAAGATCCTTCTCTCTCTAACACATTGTTTTCCCTATGTCTGTAGTCATGCCCGCCTTGTATATCTACTAATTTTTTTAATATGTCGTTTGTTTAAATCGTTTTAATTACGTTTGGTACAGTAAAAACTCCGCAATTTTAAAAATAATTTTAAGAAAAAGTACAGAAGAGATAGTTAAGATTTGATATCACTTATAGTAACTCTGTATATTCGCTTATACGTATTTCACCCTAACAGGAATCATCAGAGCGACTAGAACAGAAGCCCTAAACGTGAAAAAAATCTTTCCTGACAAAAAAAGCAACAATAAAATGGCTTTAATTTGGACCCTATAGCGACATTTAATATGATAGTAAATCTCGAAAGTAGAATTCCGAAGATTTCTGTTGACGAAACCAAGATTCAGATTTTTGCTTTAATCAATGCCTTCTATAAATTTGCCAAGTAAAACAGACGATGCTAAAAGATGTAATAGAGATATGGAGGATCTTGAGTTTTGATTGATAATAAAATATTAGATCAAATAATATCGCAACAATCAAACCAAAAAAATGTGCATTTGAAATTACCTCTGCGAACGAAGTAACACCAAGTTCACTATTCTGCAATAAACATTTTCTGTCACGGTCTTCAACTATTAAAAGTAAATAAAAATCTAATACTCCCATAAGAAGACCAATAAACTTGAAGAATCCGATACACGCACTTTGCTAACCTAACCTAACTATAGATATATATAATAATAGACTAACCACTGCATTATAGACCCGTGCCTCCAGTGGGACAGAGAAAAATGATGCAAAGGGCATCTCTGCATCTCTTTTTAATGGGCGAGGTTAATTGGTCATGTCACCTTCCCATTGGTGGTTTGGGTTACGTGGTCGATAAATTCGGCCCATTAGAAAGGGATGCAAAGACTGCTTTGCCTGTCTGTAAGTGTAAGATAAATGTCCTTGAAATTTTTTAACTTTAGAGATATGATCATGATTTTTGCAATGAATGCAGCACGTTTCACAATTCGAGGCCTCGCCGTGTTGGTTTTTCCCACATTGCTGGAACTTTGGGTTCCCTCCGCATTGATTAATACTGTGACCATATAAAAGGCAATTTCCACAAATCAAGAGTTACCTTTAACAATAAATATTCTACAAATGTCCAATATTAGTGTGCACATATATTTCAAAATAAAAAAAAATATATAAATTAACACCTCTTACGAAAGCTCATATTTTCTAAAAGCAAGACTATTTGTGACAATCGGTTATATATTTATATACTACAAATTTTAACAAAATTAATTATATCTTTGTTAAAATATGTATTATTAATAGCAATTATGTTTCGTCGGTAAAACAGATGCCTCTGTACATGTAAAGTGCACAATAAAATATGAAATTTAACAGCAGCAACAGCTAGAGAATACACGAATAGGTAATAAAGCCAATACACAAAGGTGTACATAATTGGTTTCGTGTGTAATGTTGTAATGCAGAAAGATGAAAGGCATGGTAAAGGAAAGCCGCTATATAATATAGGACGTGATGAGATTTCCAAAGTCGAAAACCACTGAAAAATCTACCAAGAACATCTATTACATATAATTT